CGCCCCGTGTGAGCGCCGCTGCCTCATTCAGGGCCAACGTTCAGTGTGGCTACGGTCGGGCCGAGGCAGGATCGAGGTCGGTTCTTTGAGGGTACCCTGGTGCCAGTGCTCTTCGTGTTTGTTGGATGTTCTGGTGAAACTTGGGGGGGTACCCTCGAGTGATCTCCTGGTGTGGGGCGTTCTGGCCAGCGGAGGGTCTCCTGTTCTTGAAGGATGTTCCCCTGTCCTAGGTCCATCCGTACAATGGGTCTGGTTACGCGGGGGTGTGGTCTGCGATCGGCGCCAGTGAAGTTTTGGGGCCACCATGTCGCGCAAAGGTGTCTGGGCCGCAGAGGACGCAGTCCTGGTGCTAGCAAGCAATCGATCAGGCCCTGATCGATCAGGTCACCGCCCTCGCGCCCGAACACCCAGACTTGTTTTTGCTCACTAGCGCTATTTTAACCCGCCCAGGCGACTGCGTGCCAACGCCCGTTGAAGAAGGTGGCACGCCAGCTCCTAGGGATGATGGGTCAGTAACTAACGGTTCTTTGTGCATTGAGGGCCATGTTTTTGTGTTATGGGTCATGGCGCAAGAGCCCAATGTGAGCTTTGCGCGGCTGGCCGGGGGGCCTGCAGTGTTGGTAGTTTCGGGGCTCCCCAGTGTACCCTCTCTGGGCCAGTGCTTGGCTTCTTCTCTCAGACCTCGCAAGCCGGTGAGTGTTGGGCCTGGTGCCACCAGTGAGCTCCTTGCTGGGCCCTCTGTTGGGTACCTGGGCTGGTGAAATGTGGCCATGGCCTTTGAGAGCTCCATGCCTCTGCAGGTCTCCTATAGGAAGCTGCGCAGGGGGTCCCTTGTTTTGAAGCTGGCGCACTCCCACTGCAGTAATGACGTCAAGGCCAAAGCTCAGGTTTCCGAGTCAGCAGAGCTGACCGAGAACCATATTTTTCAGAACAGGGAGCGACGCCGCGGACGCAGCGGCAAAGAGAGGAGCCCTTTCTCACCCTCAGGCATCGGGCGCGGAGCATGCTGAGATCGACCGCTGTGTTCGTATCGATCGCATTGACTGTGCGTTGACAGCTCGCGTCCTCCCTCTTCGACTTCGGTTCAACCTCGACGGCGTTCCCAGGGTTCCGGACCTGGGCCGAGCTGATGCTTCCAAGCTTCCATCTTTGTCGGAGTGGTCTTGGTGTTGCTCATGCTAGTAGTGCCGCCATTGTCTCAAGTCCCGGCGCCTGGACCACAAGCGCCCCGACGATGGATGCACGGGGGCTTTGCCCAGCGCGTCCCTGGAGGTAGGGCTTTGGCAGCATCATTTTGCGGCGCTTCCTTGTTCAAGCCGTATTATCATGCACGCGTGCTCGAAGTGCAAGGCCTGCATGATTCGCTGGCCGAGGGTACCCGCAGGCTCTCTGTCGCCACGGGTGACAGCAGGCGCGTGGTAATTGCCCTTCGCCTGGAGGATGATTCAGGGCCTCAACTGGCGCCTCGTGATGCATCCAGCGGCGAGTGCTCCGACTGACTGGCTTGGTCTGCCTCTGTGTCGGCGACGCGTCCAGTTGAGCCGCGCCGCTGCGGCCGTCAAGCCGCGGCGAGGGCACCTGCCTGCGATTGCCTTTGTCGCTCTCGCTGGGGTGGAGCCTCTTGAAAAGCTGGCCCCCCCCGGGAGGCGGCGCGAGAGCACGCAGCGTGCATCGCGATTTGGGTGCCCTTGAGTAGTGCTCGGCATGATGCATGGGTTGCGCGTGTGCGCACCCGCAATCAGTTTGCGTTGGATTCTGACGTGGATTGTGGGGCCACAGACATTGGCACAGCATAGCTTCCCCCAGAGTCGAAGTTACCAACCCGTGCAAGATAGCCGCACAGCGCCACGGCAATGATCCTGATTTCGCCACGGCGTTGTCTTGAGCCTCGCGGGGGGGGGGGGCATGGTCCCTGGCCCGCTGCATGTGGAGCAGGGGTGGTTTTGCGAATCACCGAAAAGGTGTACGGTTTGCCCCGGGGGCGGGACAAGGGGTTTTGGCTGAGCTGGCTCTCAAAACCGCCTGCGCCCCGTGGGCTGGTGGAGTCCGCTGCAGGGGTTTCTGGAACTCTGCTGGTTTCGCTCCGCTCGCGCGTTGTCTGGCGCAACGCGTCTGCTCGCTGCGCGCTTGAATTATGGCTGCATCCCAAACTTTTTTGAACGGCCAGTGCTCTTATGAGGCGCTTGCAGCGAGTGCGAGGAGGAGTAGGTGGTGGGAGTGATGTGGAAGAGGACGGGGAGCAGGAGGAGGAGGACCATTGCAAACCCAAGCCTCATCAACTATGCTGGAATCAGCCCTCCCTTCAAGCTCCCGCTTTTATAGGCCCCGTTGGGGGACAACCAGCGAAAATCCCGAAGCGTGCTGGAACATGATTCCCAGTACTTCAACGCCACGATCCAACCTGGCTGCTGCGTCTTGACGATCCTGTATCGTGCCGGAACATCATTCCTGGGACTTGAACACCGTGAACCAACGTAACTGTTGAGCCTTGACAATCCTGAATCGTTCCAAAATGTGATTTCTGGTTCCTTGGCAGAATCACTAAAGCTCATGTAGAATTGTGAAACGAAAGAGCGCGGCGCTATGGCGACAGCCACAATTTGAAAGGGAACCTCCCTCAATCCGTGAAGCTCCTGCATTTGTGTAGCGAACGTGTGCGGAGCTAACGCGAGAGTCACGTTTTGAAAAGGAACCGCCCTCAATCTGTAAAGGTCTTGCAGTTGTTTAATCGAAGGTGCGCGACGCTCAGGCGAAAAACACACATTGAAAACGATTTGAAACCGACTTGTCCTCAACCCGTAAGACTCCTGTTTTTGTTTTGAAACGAATGTGCGCGGCGCTAAGGCGAGAGCCATGTTTTGAAAACCACCCGCCCTCAATCTGTGAAACTCTTATCTTTGAAATGAAAGTGAGTGGCGTAAAGGCGGGAGCCACTTTCTGAGCACCACCCACCCTCCATCTGTGAAACAGTTGCCAGCTTTGAGTTTCAGGGTCTTGAGCGGTAAGGACGTCTCAGGCGAAACGCTTGTCCCGTCCTTCCGGCTGGCATCGGGGGGCGACAGGGAGGAGTTAGTAAGAAGGAGAAGGTTTGGAGGAGGAGGACGGCGAGACGCAGGCGGTGAGGACGAGGACGTGGAGGAGGGCAATGATGAGCTGGACAGGGACAAAGAGGAGGAGGAGGAGGAGGAGGAGGATAAGGACGAGGAGGAGGAGGAGGAGGAGGACGAGGAAGTAGAGGAGGAGGGACAGGAGGAGGAGGAGGAGATGGAGGAGGAGGTGGTGGTGGTCACTGCATAAGGGAAACAGAATCCCGAGCAGAGCAACACGCACCACGACCACGACGACGCCGACGACGACGACGACGGAGACGAGGCGCGCTTACGATCCGCACCGAAGCACGGATTTGGGAAAGGGCCCACCCTGCAGGTTCGGTTAAACAGCACATCGTTGAGCGGTGCTGCAGCCTCCCCTGAGCACAGGCCCCCCCACAGCATCAGCCAGACAAGTCGGGTTAGCACCCTCATGCCTTGCTGGACTCTGGGCGCGTTTCGGCACCCTCTCCTCCAACCTCGTCAGGGCCACCGACAAGGGAGAGGGCGGCGGTGGCCGACGCGTCCCCGAGCTAAGAAGCTCAAAGCGCCGCGGCTCAGAGAGCCGGGAAGACAGACGACGACGACGAGGATGGAAGGTCAGGTGGAGGTGGAGGAGGAAAGGACGAACGCTATCACTGGGCCTGAGCTGGGCGGAACTGCTGCCAAGACTGTGGTGCGACAGCCGGCCCGATCACCTCGGAATTCCGACGCCTCACCTCCTCGCAGAACGACCCAGGTCCCAGATCTGTCGGCTCACCCCGGACCTCCTTCGACTCACAGGGCGGACGGGGTGAATTGGACCGAGCAATGCCTGAGAGGAGGAAGGGCAGGAGGAGGAGGAGGCGGTTTACGAGGAGGAAATGGAGGGAGATACTGATGGTGATGATGATGTTGATGGTGATGATGATGCTGATGATGATGATGATGATGGTGATGATAATGCTGATGATGATTCTGATGAAGATGGGGATGATGACCATGCTTATGATGACAACGACGATGATGATGCTGATCCTGCTGCGACTGATGATGATGCTGATGCAGATGATGATGTTGATGATGGTGATGATGATGATGATGATGGTGATGATGATGGCAATGCTGATGCTGCTGTTTATGATGATGCTTATGCTGAGGATGATGATGTTGCTGCTGCTGCTGATGTTGATGATACTGATACTGCTGCTGACAATGATGTTGATGATGGTGATGATGATGATGATGCTGATGCTGATGCTGATGATGAGGATGATGATGCTGATTATGACGATGAGGATGATGGTGATGACGATGATGATGATGATGATGATGGTGATGGTGACGGTGATGGTGATGGTGATGATGATGATGATGATGATGACCATGATGCTGATGATGATGATGATGATGATGATGATGATGATACTGATGCTGATGCTGATGCTGATGCTAATGTTGATGATGATGATGATGATGATGATGATGATGATGATGCTGATGCTGATGATGCTGATGATGATGATGCTGATGATGATGATGATGATGATGATGATGATGGTGATGATGATGATGCTGATGATGATGATGATGATGATGATGATGATGATGATGATGATGATGTGATGATGATGATGATGATGATGATGGGAGGAGGGGGAAGAGGAGGATGAGGAGGAGGAGGAGGAGGAGGAGGAGGAGGAAGAGGAGTAGGAAAAGGAGGAAACGGACGAGAAGGAGGAGGAGGAGGACCAGGAGGAGGAGGAGGATGAGGAGGAGGAGGAGGAGGAGGAGGAGGAGGAGGAGAAGAAAGGGGTGGACGACGTCGACGACGACGGCGACACGGACGGCGATGGACGAGGACGTGGAGGCGAGGGAGGAGGCGGAGGAGGTTTGGGACCCCCCCGCGCGCCCCGCCCTGCCTCCCAGACGAGGAGGCGCCGCATTCGGCGCCGGGGCGGCCGTCGGCCTCGCCGCCAGCGTGACGTGCATGTGCGCCCTGGCCGTGCGCGTGGCAAAGCCGCGCGCGGCGAAGCCCCGCGCGGCGAAGCCCCGCGTGGCGGTGCCGCCGCTCGCGCTGGGGGAGGTGCGGCCCGCCGCCGACGGGGAGGCGGCGCCCGCGCTGCCGCCGACAGCTGGCGGCGGCTCGGACGCGCCCTTGGAGCCCCCGCCGCGCAGCTGCGGTGTCGTGAGGATCGTTCAACCGCTACCTGTCCCCATCCCCATATAGACTTCTCGAGCCCCACCACCTCACCACCTCAGTTGGGGATAGGCCCCTCGAAGCCAGAAGGGAGCCTAGATCCCCATGCAGGGGGGGTACATCGGCCGATGGGGCCCAGCCCACGCTGGCGGGGATGGCCAAATGATGCTCAGGTCGAGGCGCTCGACTTCGGCATCCCCGAACCGGCCTCGATCTTGTGCCTCGGTCCGACTGCACGCGCAGCCGACCTTTGGGGACGGGCCCCGATGGGGGCGCGCCCCCGGCCGAGGCGCGCCGAGGTCCTGGGCGGCGCCGCCGGGGGCGGCGATGGCGGCCGCGGGGCGCGGGGGGCCGCTGGCGGGCTGCCCGGGCGCGACGGAGGCGGCGTCGCGGGCCCCGCCAAGCCGCCCTGCTGGGAGGTGGCCTTGTCGGCCCTGCCGGTCGCGCCGCGGTCGCCGTCGGGCTCGAGCCGCTCCAGCCTGGCGTCGAGCCTGGCGCCGAGCTTGCCCTCGGAGTGCTCGCAGGAGGAGTTCCCGCCGGGCTTCGCTTTCCGTCGGGCGGCCGCCGCGGCCGACCCGTTCCCCGTCGGGGAGCCTCGGAGGTGCCAGTCGGGGTGTCATGGAGTCGGACATGTCCCTCTACAGGTTGGGCAATGTGGGGGCGATGTTTCAAGAGGTGTTGAATCTGAGTCGGCTATGGTTCAGTGCTCTTCCGACATCCGCCTGTAGGGGCACATGCCCGACCTGAGGGTATCATCCTCCCGCCCAGCCCAGATCCGCTCGAGATCGGCCCCCAGGACCCCTCCCGGTGTCCGTCCCGAGTCGGCGTTCCCGCGGCGCACCTGGCCGTGGCGACGGGAAGCTCCCCTCCCAGCGGCCGCACAGGAGCGACGCATCAAAAAAAAAAATCCTCTGCGCCGACCTTGGCGCGCAGGCCGCCCGCGCAGAAGCTCGCGCGTGAGCGCCCCCGTCCTCCGCGCGGCGTGCCGCGCTGGCTGCCCGCGTAAGTCGTGGCGCAGCCCTGCGATCCGACGCAGCGAACAAATTGCAGCCTCGTGAAAACTCACGCCCGGAGCCCTACAGACTAGTTACAGACCCCATCATTTCGGCGTCCTTTCTCGAGCCGCATCGATCTCTGAGGGTCCCCGGGCCCGAAGTATGGCGAAGCAGCCCGGCTCGTAAGAATCGAGACGCCAGGATCTGAGGGAGGGCCGCGATGCCATCTCGCGTAAGACCCGGTTGTGATCGTCGTTCCACTGGTCGAGTAGGGCTGCTTGGCCTCGACGGCGCGTCTCCGAGGCTCTCCGCCTCCGCCCCGGCGCTTCCCCGCACAGCCCGGGGCCGCGCCCGCTGGCCACCCGGGCCGCCAGCGCGCCGTGCCCGCCAGCGCCGGCCGCCCCCGCGATCTCGAGGGGGCCCTCCTCGGGCGACGAGATCTATGCTCAAGTTGGGCACGTATTCGAAAATAGTTAAGCAATTGTCAGGGGACGATTTTGGACGTATTTCTCAAGTATCTTTGGGTCTGGTTTGGTTTTTCTTTGTTTGTCCTCTTCCGCTCGGGGGACATGCCCGACCTAAATCTATACCCAGGCCTCCTCGCTTGATGAAACAAATCGCGACGGGCTTTCCTTTGCTACTTTCGGGGGGGGCCCTTGCCGGGCCTCAGGGGCGCCCAAAAACGACTGGGGATGAAAACCCGGTCCCGGGGAATGGGTCTGGACCTCTGCATGGGGTCCATACATACCCAGAGATCCGACGTTTCAAAATAATGATTGCAAAAAAAACACCAAACACCCAAACAAAAACCCTTCGTCCGAGTGTGCGGTTTGGGGCCGATGTCGGCCTCTGGGGGCGCTCGCTGGGCCTTTCGGGGCCGTCAACAAGACGACTCCTGGCGTAACACCGGCCCTGGGGAGGTGGTCTCCAGACCTCTGGGACCCTCGCATCCAACACTGGAGCAGCCGGATGTCTGGGTACATGTCCATGGCCACGTGCATCGGCCAGGAGGGCGTGGCGCAGACAGACCGCTGCCGGGCTCCAGATGGGCGTGGCCAGGGAGCAGCGGATACGCAGTGTTCACCACCAGCCAAACCACCCCAACCCAACCCGAAGGCCTCAATCTGCCCTCTATTTCCAGTGAGGGGGGGTCGGTGAACATCGAAAACTCACAGATGGAGCCCACACACCCCCCAGCCCGAAATTCGAGTCTTCGGGTTGGGCTGGGGTGGTCTGGTGGGCAGTCAGTCATAAATCTCGTCGCCCTGCCTCCCCCGCGCGCAGCTGGCCGCCCCGCCTGCCGCAGGCGCGGGGCCGACCCCCGCGCGACGCGCCGCGCAACGCGCCGCGCGCCGCGCCCGTGCGGCAGGGCACCAAGATGGTGCTGTGAGCCTGCCGGGGCCGGAGGCTCTCCCCTGAGGTCCTGTCGAAGCTCACGAGATTGATCGAGCGCGTTCCGCTGCTCGCACAGTGCCTGCTCGCAAGCGTCCGAAAACCACCCGTCTGCTGTGATGTGGTGGTTCGTAGACCCTCCGCGGCGGGTCCAGGCCATTTGCGCGCACTTACTCTGCGAATAGTGGAACGCGCTCGTCTAGAGACGGGGGTCAATGCAGACGGGGGTCAACCAGGGCACCGCATCCTGCAGGGTCCTGCGATCACGCCCCCTGGCGGACCCGGCGGTAGAGAGTCACTCAATCCGGCCGAGAGGCGCCCTCGCATATTGGCGGACCCGGTTTTGTCGAAGCCCTGCGCTGCAGATTTTTCTCCTGCAATGCAGTTGTTTGGGTTCCTGCTGACCCAGGTCTGACTGTCAGCATCGTTCAACCAATCCCCATCCCCATCCCCATCCCCTTCGAGACCCCCACCAAATTACTACCCCAGTTGGGGATACACCCCTCGAAACCCGAAGGGAACGACCTATATCCCCATCTAGGGGGGTTAAGTCGGCCAGTGGGGCCCAGGCCACGCCGCTGGGGATGGGGATCGGTTAAACGATACTCACATTGACCCGGGTTAGCAGGGCCCCGATCCTGGCATCTCGATTCTTCCGGGCCGGGCGTCGTCGCCTGTTGTTCGGGCCCCGCGGCCCTCAAAGATCGATGCGGGCTCGAGAGATGACGCCGAAAGAGGGGGTCTGGATGGCTCTAGGTCGTAAGTTTTCACGATGTTGCATGGGATCTCAGGGACAGTCGAGGGTGGAAGAGCCACCCCGACCACAGTAGTTGGCGTCTGCTGGGCGGCCTTGGGCGTTTGCGAGACGGCTCCGTTGGTCCGGGTGCTTGTTATGGGGGGAGTTGCATGCTCTCTATCTAGATCTCCCAGATGGGGTCGGCGTAGATGGGGTCGGAGGATCGCGCCGCGTCTCCGATGCATCGCCGATGCCGCTCAATGTGGAGCCCGAATTGCCTCACGTCGACGTCGTGGATGAATCGCTGTTGTATTGCCGATGCATCGGCGATGCATCGGCGATGCGGCGCGATCCTCCGACCCCATCTCATCATCGTCGGAACCATCCCTACTCCCACTGGGGCAGGGTAAGTTGGCTATTCCATCGTACCCCTTCTAGGTGGGGATGGGTGCTCAGAAACTCGCAGGAGACAGTACCCATCCCCACCTCAAGGGGAGGGGTATATTGCCCAGCGGGGCCAAGGTTTCCCCAGTGGGGGTGTGGGGAATGTTTGCCTCGTCCAGGCCACTTGCTCCGACCCCATCTGGGACGCATCGCCGGTGCATCGCCGATGCGGCTCGATGTCGAGCCCGATTTATTTCACGCCGATGTTGCGAATGCATCGCCGATGCATCGCCCATGCAGAAGACCGACTCGGGTGAGCTGGCCCGAAGGCGCTTCGCGGTGCACCCACGGCCGAAGCCGAGGCCCCAGCCGAAGTTCACAGGAACATCGAGAAGGCTAACCGTACAGGTCTGGTTGGCAGCACCACGCTGAGCGGTGCTGCAGCCAGCCTCCCCTGAGCACATCGGCGATGCATCGCCCCCTTCTCCCCCCCCTCCTCCTTCTCCTCCTCCTCCTCCTCCTCCTCCTCCTCCTCCTCGTCCTCCTCCTCCTCCCATTCCTCCTCCTCCTGCTGCTCGTGATGCTGTACGTTCGCTTGCCTCCACCAGCCGCCCGTGGTCCAGAGAGACGTCGCTTGCCCACGTGTTCGTGCTTGGTTGTGGAGATCTGGGGTGGGAAGCGAGATCTGCACGCCTCCTAGTCCTGGCAACCGGCGAGCAGATAGACCTGCTCAGGCTGTCGCCAACGGTTGTTGCCACACTTGCCCAGCAGGCTGCCAGGGAGATGTCAGATTTTCGCGCCCTTGAGGCTCGTGTCTGTTCGGAGTCGTGGTGTCGTCCTGTTTTCTGGCAGCACTGGACTTTCTCTTGTCCAGGCGCACGGACTCCTGGACTAAATCGCACGTCGATGCCCCCAGGGCTTCGGTCTCGGGGAAGCACTGGACGCAGGATCGGCTGCATAGTCATGGGTTCGTGTCGTGCAACCTCTGTAGGCTTTGTCTAGGCGGCCCAGGGACCATGTTCCATCGTAGGTTTCTTTGTGATGCTTGGGCGGCAGATCGTGCACATCACCTGTCTGATGGTGCGTTAGCTGCCGCCATGCAGATTCGGGAGTTCAAGGACCCAGGAGAGTTTTTTGCGTCTGGGCTGCTTCCGTTTCCTAGGGAGTTGGTCCCCGCGCTCTTGGGGTCCCAAAGCTACCATGTTTCCTGGATACGGAGGCCCGAGGACGGCCTGCTGCGTGGGAAATGTTTTACCGATGGTTCTGTATATTTTTTCCCTCGGACCCGCTCCTAAGGCGAGCGGGGTGGGCTGTGATCTCGGTCGACGACGCTGGTGAGATGCTGGGTGGAGCTTTCGGCCCCGTCCCGTGGGATGTCGCCCCCCTCCAGCTCGCCAAAGACGGCGAGGACTATGCTTTCTTTATGCTCGGCCAGATCGTGTTGGCCCTTGAGGGTGTCTGGACGGACTGTGCAGCGACCACTTCCGCTTCGCAGCCCAGAGTTCGCTCCACGAGTGCTAGGTGCGCCCAGGCGCACATGTGGTTTTCGGTGCACGCGGCCTTCGGGGATGGCCTGCGGGTCCACAAGACCAAGGCCCAGTGCTCTGAGGCCGATGTCACCATAGGGCGCACCACGTATTGGGAGCGTAAGGCTAACGCCATCGCCGACGCCCTCGCTAAAAGGGGAGCGGGCATGCACCCGTCAGTAGAACAGGCTGCCCGACAGACTGCTGGTCTTAAGCTTCTGGGGCGGGAGTTGGGCCAGTGGGCTGGGCGGCAGGGGGCTCTGATGAAGCAGCGGGGCTGGGACGACTCCGAGGGCCTGCCAGACAAAGGCCATTCGGTTCGGTCCAGGCGTTCTGGTCCTCGAAAGCGCCCAGCGTCTCCCGTCTCCTTGCGTTTTCGTGCTGTGCTCTCTGCCGTGGCTGACGCTGGGCCCAGTGATCCCGCGCTAGCCATTCTGATGAGGCTGTCGCGGCATAACCTGGGAGTGTGCAAAGTGTCTGATAGTGCAGGAGCCTCCGTGGTGACCGCCCCACGGCTGATCTGCTGTATGTCGTGTGGAGTTTACGCGTGGGGCGGGGTCCGCGGGCTCAGTGAATGTGTGTGCCATGGGCATAACGCGGGGTCAAGGCTGAAGCAGCAGCGTTCAAGGTTGCTCGCTGGTTTGTTTCCGCGTTGGTTGACCCGCTATCAGGGCTGGAGTGTGAGTGTCCTCGAGCGCCCCGCCCCTGGAGACCTCCTGGGCCTCGCGCGTGCGATCCTCGGCCGACTCCAGGTGCGCGCGGCCCTCCCTGTCGGCAGGGCCGTTTTCCCCAGGGGGCCGCCGTGGCAGGTCGCGTTGGGGCGCGGGCCCCTTTTCGCCCGCTTCGGCCTCACAGGCGCCGCGCTCCCGCGCTGGGAGCGGGAGGCGAGCCGTGGGGGGGACGAGGAGGCTGAGGAGGAGCAGGTTTAGCCTGATTTTCAGTCATCCCCGCGGGCGGTATCTTGGACGCCTTCCGCCTTCGTCTTGTCTTGCCTCCTGTTGTTCCTCCTTCTCCTCCTGACCTTCCTCCTCCTCCTCCTCCTGACCTTCCTCCTCCTCCTCCACCTCCTCCTCCTCCTGCTCCTCCTCCTGCTCCTCCCCCTCCTCCTCCTCCTCCTCCTCCTCCTCCTCCTCCTCTTCCTCTTCCTCCTGTTCCTCCTCCTGCCCCTCCTCCTACTCCTCCTGGAGGTTGGTTCGAGGAAAAAACGAATCGAGCGTTCTGCTTGTTTGTGTGATGTTCTCGTGCATCCTTCCAGGCCCCCCCGAGGGGGTCCGAACAGGCGGCGTCGGAGGACCGCGCCGCATCGCCGATGCATCGCCGCAGCGGCTCGATGTGGAGCCCGATCTGCTCCACGCCGACGCCGCCGATGCACCGCCGACGTCGACGAGGCGTCGCCGGGGCATCCCCGCTGCGTCCCCGATGCTCCGAGCCCAGCTGCTCCGACCCCAGCCCGGAGGCCTCGCTCTCTCTGTCGCTGCAGCGGGGCGGGCCCCCGTCGAGGCGGCGGCGGCCCCGCGCCCCCCCGCGGGGCAGCCCCGCGCCCTGCCCCGTGGCCGGGGCCCTCCCCTGCGGGGAGGCGCCCCGCCGCCGCGGCTGCGCCCGCCCGGGGAGAACCCCGGAGGCCCGACGCTCCAGGAAGATTGGGCGCTGCGTAATGGGGGGGTCATAAGTGGGGGTGGTGGCGAGGGTGGTTCGAAAAAAAAAGTTCCCAAACGGTACCTAAACTTGTGTTATCCAAGGTCGCGAGACTCTGGTTTGCTGCGAAAACAGCGAAACCCTCCAAAAACCCTCAAACGCCCTCCGCGGCGACCTCCGCCAAAACCCTCCAAAAACCCTTAGCAAATCATTGAAAATTTATCATTGGGTAACGCTGTTAAATTATAAGTATCCGCATTGCAGTTTTCGCAACGATCTTGGAAAATGATTGTCGCCCTGGACTTGTTGCTCTAGTGGGGTCGTGCCAACGGGGATCCACGAGGGCCCAAGAGGCTCCAAGAGGGCTTTATGAGGACCTCCACGAGAAGCCCGAATTTCGGGCTCTTGGTCAGGAGATTGTTCCCAGAAGATTCGAAAGGACTCCAAGAAGTCTCCAGGGGGGTCTTGCCAAACACCCGCTTCCTTTTAATTTGCCAATCTGGTGGCCAGGTTGGCGAAGTGGCTCACAGCCTGAGGCCCCGACGGGGGTGGGTGGATTATTTGCGGGAGGGGGTGCATGCTGCGCGCGAGCAGTCGGGGGCACGCGTTCGCATGCATCAAGCGAGCAGTGTGTGTGTGTGTGTGTGTGTGTGTGTGTGTGTGTGTGTGTGTGTGTGTGTCTGTCTGCCTGTCTGTCTGTCTGTGCGTGTGTGTGTTTGTGTGTGCGAGGTGGGTGGGTGTGGGAGAAGGGATGGGGAGGGGGCGGATTCTTTAGAGGGAAGAGTAAGCGGAGGAGGAGGAAGGGGAGGAGGAGGAGGGAAGGAGGAGGAGGAGGAGGAGGAGGAGGAGGAGTTGGAGGGAGGAGGGAGGAGGGAGGAGGGAGGAGGGAGGAGGGAGGGAGGAGGAGAGAACGTTCCAGGGTTCTCGGGCGTCGCTGGCATTGCCTTGGGCCTCCGTCTGCTTTCATGGTGTCGTGCCCCCCGTCTGCTTTTATGGTCTGTATCTCGCCCTCGTGCCAACATATCTGGACCCCCCCCTTAACCCTGCCACCACTTCTTCGTGGAGGGATGCAGAGAGCGAAGGTAATCGCGAAGGTAAGCGCAGAGAGCGAAGGTAATCGAGAAGATAATCGCGAAGATAATCGCGAAGGTAATCGCGAAGGTAATCGCAGAGGGCGAGGTCCCCACGGCCATCCCAGAGGGCGAAGGTAATCGCGTTTCGTGAGCGGGGGTCCGCGACAGAGCAACCGCACTGTCCCGCTGGGCGGGGGGGGGGGCGCGAGGGCGAAAGGGCGCGAAGATAACCACCGCCCTGCGGGGGGGGAGAGGCACGAAGGCGAAAGGAGGGGGAATCCCACCTTCCTCCCTCCCTTGCATTCCCAAGTTGTCCTCCCCTCCGCAGCCATTGTGGCACCATGGCGTCTGCAGGCGCCGCCGCCAAGGGCGGCGGCAGAGGCAAGGGCCCGAATGCCCTCGCCATGGCAGACCTCCAGGCGGCGGCTGCAGCGGCGCGCCGCCGCCGCCGTGAGGCGTCATCGGCCGATCGGCCGCCGCCAGCGCTGACGCTCGCCGTGCCGACGCACGACCTGCAGTTGATCGACGAGGCACCCCTGCCTGGAGTATCACGATCAATTGTTCGCCATGTAATTACAGCAGTTGCCCAGTTGAGTGACCGCGCATGTATCTTCGATGATGATGGAGGCCCCATCGATGATGCTGAGCACGAATGGTTGGAAGGCCGTGCCCCCAAGCATCAGCCTGTCAAGGCATCTGGTGCGACACGCATGCCACATAATTCTTTGACACGGGCCCGTTCAGAGCTAGCAGCACTGTCCTGGCACGTTTCCAGGGGCATCCGACGAGCACTCTACGAATCGTTCTTGTTGGCTAAGCGCCGCGGCGCGAATTTGCGATGCGTGGACACAGTTGATCATGCAGGTTTCGACGAGACGCCATTACCCTTGAGATTGACTGGGGATCAGACGGCACAAACTCAATGTAGAGCTATCCAGACGTGGGCTCCATCACGGGCGACAGGCGAAGTCGTCACGAAGCTGTTCCAGACGCAGTCTGAGTATGGCTGCCTTCTCGCGGCGCCGCCTCTTGATGGCGATCATGGGGCGACTCGGTATTGCATCATAATCGGTCGCGCGATGCACGAGTGCCAGTCGCTGCGGAGTTGCCACGCTGAGAATATTATGATGGCTCTGGAGAGGTCATCTGGTATGAGTGGGTATGAGACGGCATTCGAGTGCAAGACCAGGGCCTCGTCAAGAGATAGACATCCATCTAACAAGTGTGCTGAAGTTGAACTCGTTCGTCGACGTGGTGCTGGTTGGGGTTATCTGAGCACGGACTGTGAAAAGCATCAGAACGCATCAACTCACGCGTATTGTTCTTATTACGTGAACGACGCTCTGAATGGAATGTTGCACATGGCCAAAAGCTTTGAAGTGCGTGGTGCATGGGGGGGTTTTCAAACTTGCGTGTGTGACATATTGAAGCATCGGATCAAACTTGTGCACGGTCAGCTTGATAACGAGTCTCTGTTATACAAGCTCGTCGCATGCCGAACTCTTGTGTCGCCTGATGGTGGTGCTGTGATGAGACGCGTGTTCTTGCAGATGGCTCCCCAGTGCGACTTCAGAGATAGAAAGGACATAAGAATTGTTGTGGATGATTCCTTTGACATCGAAGACGCGTCGCAAGTCAACGATATGACGCAGTATATTGCCAGCATTGTCACGAATTGTTTGACATATCGGAGGTTTCGTCTTTACAGCATGCAGCGGTGGACGGGCGCCGAGGAAGGCGTGTGTGATCCTGCTCTTGTTGAGGTTTGTTGGGGCTTGCTTCGGCCTTCGTATTTCTTGCGGGTCCGAAGGCGACGGCGGCCGCACTGTGCTCCACAACACCGCGCTGCTGCCCGTGAAGCTGCTGAACAGCAAGACATTACCTTGGCCTTGGGCGATGGCTTACATCGGCAGTTCGCGGCGCTACGTGATCTGCCAGTGCCTCGCGAAACTGCGGACAACAAAAAGGAATTGGAGCACACCCGTAGCACCAAGAAAGCTTGCGCTTGGCTCTGTACTACCAGTCCTGAGCCTCTGACGAAGATGCTGGTGTGGAGATTGTGCGTCGCCCCCCTGCAGCACGACATGCGGATGCAGTTGCGCGTATCGTCCAAGAAGTGGGAGCACCGTCAGCGGGCAGCCGCGGCTCGATCCATCCGCGAGGGCGTCGACGGCGACAAGCTTCATCGTGATTACCGTATTTTGGTCGCTGCCAGGGGGACGTTGGAATCTGGTTTGAATATGCGGCTGCGCCATTTGCTCGACGACTCCCGCCTCTGGCTCCTGGTGCCGCAGGGTGACGTGACGAATCGGACCAGGGCGATTGCTTTCTTCACGATCAGCTCCGCGGGCGGGTCCACGTACTACTACAGAGAGAAGCCTCACACCAAATACCCTTTCCGCGCTTTTCTCAGCCTCGAGTCGGCAGCTATGGGACAGGCGTGCGACAGTGACAAACCTTGTATGCGGTGCCCGTGGTCTGCTAGGTTTGTGAAGGAGAGCGGCGCGTTCGACAGCGTGGAGGCGAGGTGCCGCTTGCTGTTGTTGGCTCTTCTGTTGTATTTTGACAACGGTCGCCTTGAGGTCGGCAACGCTAACTTGCGCAGGCGAGTTCATGAACGGGTTCAGGCGCCGAAGATCAGCATGTCCGACTTGAGCGCGCTCCACGTTGGCGAGAGCTTGAGATTCAGGTGGTGCGAGGCCCCGTCGGACACGAGCGGGACGAGCTCTCGCCAGGACAGGCGCTCCGAGCAGGCGGCCGAGTGGCATGGGCGAGCTGGAGGTGCTTGGCGCGCCTACGTGAGGGCGATGGGGTCGAATGATTTCAAGGCATTGGCTGAGCAGCACAGGGCCCTTGATGACGAAGGCCGCCAGAAGTATGTCGAGGATGGACAGGCAGCTACCAAGAGAAGGAAAGCAGGCGATGTCATCGGGACGTCTTTTGGGCCCAAGCGGGCCGACATGGAGCGGGCAAATCGATCCAGAGTCCTCGCTTCGCGCGTGCAGAGCTTGTTGGATGCAGAGCAGCAGGAGTCGGTCGACAGCGTGTTGCAGGTCGCGGCCGCGACAGGCGACGCGCCCCGCACAGTGCTGAGCGAGGCCAGGGCTCTACAGCGGTCGCTCAACTTCAGGCGCCGAGTCAGGTCTCGAGCTGACCAGGACATCTTGGAACAATTTGATCGGGACACCATAGTCGAGGCTCGCGAGATGGTGACGTCTTGTTCAGCTGGGGCGCCGTGGACTACAGGTGCGTTGTCATCAATACCAGGGGAGCTTGGATGCAAGGTGCTTGCCGTTGACGACCTCAAGGTCGCGAAGGCTGCTGTTCTTGTTCGACGGTGGGGGGTCAAAGCAGCACTTGCGAGGAAGTCGAACTTGGTCCAGTCATGTGTTGCACAGTGGAACTCATTGGCAAAGTCGGTGACGGCGCTCCCGATCGACACCGATGATGGTGAGATCGCAGACGGGTTCCCAATCAGCCCATGCTGGCTCGCTGGCGTTTGCTTGTGCGACCGCGCTGGTAAGACATTGTACAAGGCCAGGAACGCTATCTTGAAAGCAATGAAGATTGAATTCCCCATGGCCGAGGTCGAGAAGCGCAACTTGCTGAAGCACGATCGCATCATCATGAAGATCACGACCAAGCCGCGCAGCAGCGGCGATGCTGATAGCGCAGAGCTGGCAGAGTTCTGGGGCCTGGGGCCAAAGTACTGGCACATCAGCTTCATGCTGTTTTCCCCGTACGTCCCGATCTTCCAGGACATGGGCGACGTCGCGGGCACCGACGGCGAGA